GAAGAAAGTATGTTTGTCAGCCAACCAATAGAAGTGAACCTTACGCCAGCTTAAGGTTAAGTGTGTCTTTTGGAGGGTATCGTCTATCAAACCTAAAGGCGTTAGTCTATAGACGGAATATAAGACACGGGGGTTATCCACTTAGATTCGTCGATAGGAACTTAACACCTAGACAACATGCTTAGAAGGCACCAACAGTTCAAAAGAAAAACACGGCTGCTAAAATCTTGAATAGGCAAATTTCCAAATCCCTGAATAAAACCTTCTACTCAGCTAAGCTCTGAGTTGTTTTCTCAAGACGGTCTACCATTCACGGATGTGTTAACGATAAAATTTCACTTTGGGCCACCTCAATGTGCATCTATAAATTGACTTGCTCGTGTGGGGTAGGTTAAATTGGCCACAAAAAGCATCTCAGAACATTACCCGGCGTAGCTTTTAATAGAAGACTTCTAAAAAGTTACAAGTTCAACACAGGATCATCTAATCAATTCCCAAAGTCTACATGCAAACACTTTCACCCTCTAATCCTTCCTTGGCCCTAATTCCCTTGTGTAGTGTTTTGGTTTTTTAATAGATGTTTTGTAATTAGAAGCCGTAATCACTTATTATTATCCCTTGATAATTTTTCATGAATATTATTTAGTTATTATTATAACCTTTATGTTTTTCATTTTTCTTCATATCTGTCAACAGGATAATTATCTTTCGTAATTTTGACCTGTAAATTATATTTCATCCTTATACTCTTATCTAACACCCTGAGTACTACGTAAACCCATTTGATAAATCAAGTCTCAAATCACTTTATAATCCAATCTTTTCTATCCTTCTATGAACATATATTTACCATACAACTATAAATACGAATGTACAGCTTAAGTAAACGATTTCGTCGAAAAAAATTTTTTTCTCTGAATTCTTTTTGTCTTAACTCCCAGTTTAAATGTTTAAACCCGTACTTACAAGTTAGTTTTTCAATATAATTGTAATAGGGATGTTATATACGTTTGGTCACATCCATAGTCGAAACTTTCCTCATTCCAAAAGTAAGAGCAATGATCATCCACAATAAATAGTCGTTTAAAATAATAACTGAAATTTTGTAGTTTTGTCTTCTTTGATGAATGTGTATATAATCAAGAGGAACTTCTGACTGTTAACAATCATTAACATAATACATCTGACATTCATAAGAAGATTCATACTCGTACAATAATATGAATCTATGTAGATCATTCCAGTAGACAATAGAATTAACTTTGAGAGGTGTGAAATATAAGTACACCCCCTGCTAGATTAAACTGTCTAAACCAATTCTTCACTTAGCGATCAAGTATTATCTATAATTGTGGATATCCAACATGTTTATAAGTTATTGAAATAATATTAGAATTCACTGAAACTAGAATCTGTATTTCTTAATAATGGAAAATGTTAAAGTAATTTCTGTTCACTTCTTGGTTATCAAACTGAGTTAATGATCTATGATGTGTGTTTGAAGATTCGCTTTGATAACAAACTAGGTTTTATGACTTAAATCGTTTACTTTTGATACTAACAGTGAAATCCTGGCTCTTTCCTAGATATCTTTTTTTAAATGTCCCTACAAGCCTCATACTTATTTATTAAGTATTCATGAGTATTGCCCTGTTGTACCTACCAAATAAGCAACTAGTGCACACTTTAAAGCTTCACCAACCCTATGTACACGGAAAAAAGATGAAATCCATGTGAAACACATTACTGTCAAAACTGAATGGTGATAATGTTTAAATTTAATGCTCATTTACAAATTTTCAGAATGATGAGGACATACAAACGATAAACTTGACAAAATGAATATTTCACAAATTCATAACTGACTATTTACACTTATCTTCCTTCAAATTTTTATACGGTTTTAAGGCTGAAATATACAATAATAAAATACAGAGAATAAAAATTCGTTAGCTATATTTATTCATAATCTGTAAAGCATGTTAGAAATCGAACTCAAAACAATTGACAACCAACACCAAGGTCAGAATTTTCAATACAAATGTCAAGACAGTTCAACTGTATGGAGCCGAAACCTGGAAAACTACGAAAGCCATCATCCAGAAGATGCAAGTGTTTATTACCAGTTGTCTACACAAAATACTTCGGATCCGTTGGCCGGACACTATTAACAACAACCTACTGTGGGAGAGAACAAATCAGATCCCAGTGGAGGAAGAAATCAGGAAGAAGCGCTGGAAGTGGATAGGACACACATTGAGGAAAACACCCAACTGCGTCACAAGACAAGCCCTCACATGGAATCCTCAAGGTCGAAGGAGGAGAGGAAGACCAAAGAATACATTACGCCGAGAAATGGAGATAGATATGAGAAAAATGAACAAGAATTGGATGGAACTTGAAAAGAAGGCCCATGACAGAGTGGGTTGGAGAATGCTGGTCGGCGGTCTATGCTCCATTGTGAGTAACAGGCGTAAGTAAGTAAGTAAGTATGTTAGAAATCACCGACCGAAGTAACTCAGATTGCTTTTCTTTTCAAATCATTGCGTAACGGCAAATGATTAACTTAGTATGACATTATTCTTCATTAACTTTACAAACTAATCTAGCCCCAAGCTTTGTAAGCAGAGTGAGATGGTGGCCAACATAGTTTCGTTCTATTTCAGATTCGTCAGGTGAAGTTCCTCGTTTCCCAGAGTTGATGTTCACTGTGTGATTCGAATCTGGTAACGATTACTTAAAATCCCATCGCGTTGTCCACTAAGTTACAAAGTCAAGGTGTCCGTTAATTTGTACACTAGGGTACATTTTTCAACTCAGTTGTTATTTTTACACATAAGACAAGTGATAAGAAGATGTACACCGACTACCACTACTACTACTACTACTACTGCCTATTTAAGTAAGAAATATAAGCTTTATATCCAGAAATTAATTCTTTTACTGATATTTTGTTGTTTCCTTTTTTACTTGAAATAATCACTCAACAAACTGTTGTTAGTGATGATACTTCTACTTTTTTTTTATCTAGTTCAAAATTATTCTCCTATTGGCATTTACATGACCACTATGTTTACAGTTGGTAATGATTCATCAAACAAAAGTAAACATTTTATACCTCATAAATAAATAAACAGGCAATAAAACCGTATTGACCAGATATTTTAAAACACAGTGAACAGTACCTAATATATGTAGAATGATAAGGTCAAGGCAAAATCAGGTGTGTAGTACTAACCATGATTCATTTTACAATGAATGTAAATGTTAAGTAATCGTCATTTGTTATGCTTTGTTTGAATTCACCTTATGAAGTAAAATTTAATACTTAAGTAAAAATAATGTTGAAAACTGTTTATTTGTAATAAACTATAATTCTCAACACGGTGATCCATGACCTCGCAACCTGGGAGCGAATTTTTTCAATGTCCTGTCAACTATCATATTACAAAAGTTGACAGGATTCATATGTGAAAACAATGACTTCGATCTTTAAATTTTCCTTTGTTTCTCTTCGATCATTTTTTTCTGCTCCTACCACAGATCGAGTCTCCGTTAACAGTAAAAGATTCCTATTATTCCTTTTTCATACTCTAATATCCAAGGGGGTAAAGGTTTGTGTTTGTTACTTTTATTTCTTCTTTCTATACTCCAAACTTGTCACACCATTTGACTTGAACTAGTATATACATTTAAGTCGTGTTTATTATATTAGAGCTGAAAATATCAATGATTCCCATAAAATTGTTGGATTTATGAGGTATGAAGATAGATTAGTGTAGACCTACACGTATATCGAGACTCTGAAAATGAGATCTTTTATTTCGAATTCAAGTACTTCGCTGAAAAATCTGACAAAACTTTATTGGCTGAACTCAAAAAAACCCTTAGTTATTGTTCCTACCATTTGATATTCCTCTATTATTGTCTGTCATTAGTGCACTTTTTTGACTTAATGGAAAGCTATAATTGTGAACGTATCGCATATGATCATTGAAATCAACATCTGGTTTTGGTGAAAATTTTGGTTTTTATAGCTTTTTCTTCACCAGTAAAATAGGGTAAAATAGACGGATTAAGAGGAAAAGTAAAAAGAAACATACTTAACAATGTACAAAGATGTTCGTGTTGGTTTATTTCAAATTACAAGTATTGAACTATATGGCGCTTCATTAAAAATGGATATCAGTGAATCATTCTTTGAAGACTATTCCAGAAGTAATAATGGAGTTAGTGTCAGTGGTAATGGATGACCACTAAATTACATAATGAATTCGCATTACTTTAAAACACTGACCATTGGAATTTTTTTCAGTGGATCCATATTGCATAGCTTGTAGATCCTGAGTTAAATGCAATGTATAGATATAAATCCCCACTACTAAGATTTATTAAGCCAAGAGAAAACAATTATTTATTATCAGTGTGTGGTTGTGGAGTTTTTGATTAAGATTATAAGTCAATCGATGTTAGACCGCTATTAAAAACCTGGAAGCGCTGGGCGGACGTTTAACCCTAGTATGGAACACCTTATCATTTCGTATCCACGATTTATTGTCCATTCCTCTGGATCATCGTTTTTGAGTTACTAATATTCAGACTTTTGATTTATGCTGATGAACATGGATAAATTAATAAGATAAATAGTTATAATAGTTTACCGTTGTGTGAACTAATTTATGATCTAATCAAAATCTCATGAATGGAAACAACACTTCAATGTAATTTTAACATGCTCACCAGTTACCCGATTACTAAATAAAGCTACATAACTTAAGGTATTTAGGATATATAAAGAAAATTTACTTACCTATTTAGACTAATTCCATAATGGAATACAGTTTGGTAAATATCAATTCAAGCTGAATTATAATTTTGACTGGTATAGTTTATTTGACATAATTCTTTTGATCATTTACCATTAATTTATAATTACATCCAAATTGAATACATCATTCATGATATTCCCCCCCCCCTTTGTTTTGTACTCTTAACCCTAGCTACTGCCAAAATATGCCTAATATGATCAAGTCAAATCACGTGAATGATTTTATGAATGATCGTGATTTAAATCATATTAATTACAGTGGAATTCATCAAACAAATGGATATACAAATAAACCAAATAATTCTACTGGACGTTATACAATTTTATCAAAATCGACAACAATAAGAAATGGAACAAGTAAAGGTTCTTATCATCCTGCTAGTCATTATTTTCAACTTGATACAACAAAACGTTCTCATTCACAACAAAGTATAGGATCAAATATTTCTAATGGGTCTATAAATGTAAGTGATAACAAAGATTTATACAGTTGTAATGGTAATTTATTTCAATATTAGATTTTCATATGTCGTATTAAGTTGTTATAATAAATTGTGAGGATATTCGTTTTTAAATGGTTGTCTGGAGGAGATTATTTACAGTTCAAGATTATTTTTTCTTAAATCAATATCATTATGAGAACCACTAAGAACTAATAAACATTTGACAACTGTTCCGTTCAAATTACTGTACCTCAGAACAGTAGGTACCCAAAACGTTACGTATAACGGAGCTGTGAATATTAAGTTTTGATGGAACTCACTGATTAGTTGCACTTCATTTGTTGGTTCTGTTGGTTTCACTTGTTAAATGTGATGGAAACAGATTAGTTTGCAAGTAATTGGAGATAATCCACAAAATAAATGTTTATTTGTTGTTCTTTCTTTGTTGAAACAGATTCAACATTAAACAAGATACGTTTTTATTGGTTTTAAGTGACATCACAACCAGTTCACCTATGTATGCAACTTATAAACCAATGAATATATATATCATTCACATAGTATCTTGATTTTAATGATTAGATTCGGTTAAGCCGATACTTTTATAAAGGATCCAGTCTAAGCTTACAGTTTAAGCATACAATGGACAGCTCAGAACGAATCAGACGATTTGGACTTCGCAGATGACCTAGCTCTCCTATCGCATACACACGAACAAATTCAAATAAAGACAGCCAGCATAGCAAAAGTCTCTGCATCAGTAGGCCTCAACATACACAAAGGGAAAATCAAGGTCCTCAAATACAACACGGAGAATACCAATCCAATCACTCTTGATGGCGAAACTCTGGAAGATGTGGAATCCTTCACATACCTGGGAAGCACCATCGATAAACAAGGAGGTTCAGATGCAGACTTTAAGGAGAGGATCGGCAAAGCTAGAGTGGCATTCCATCAACTGAAGAACATATGGAACTCAAAACAACTTTCAACCAATATGAAATTCAGAATCTTCAATACGAAGGTCAAGACAGTCAGTTCTACTGTATGGAGCTGAAACTTGGAGAACTACAACAACCACCATCAAGAAGGTACAAGTATTTATAAATAGCTGTCTACGCATGATACTCAACATCCATTGGCCGGATACCATCAGCAATAGCCTTTTGTGGGAGAAAACAAACCAGCTTCCAGCTGAAGAGGAAATTAGAAAAAGACGATGGAAATGGATAGGACATACATTGAAGAAATCATCAAACTGCATTCCGAGGCAAGCCCTAACTTGGAATCCTGAAGGGAAGCGGAAAAGAGGAAGGCCAAAGGACACATTACGTCGGGAAATAGAAGCGGATATGAAAGGGATGAATAAGAACTGGAAAGAGCTTGAAATGATTGCCCAGGACAGGGTTGAATGGAGAATGCTGGTGAGCGGCCTATGCTCCTTCCCAAGGAGTAATAGGCGTAAGTAATCTCCCCTAAGCTTGGTGAATTTGGATTTATTGTCAAACTGTGCAAGACAACTCTAGAAAGATCGTAATTTAAGTTTATCTTTAACAGAAACTTTATAAAATTGAAACATTATGATGGTAATAGTATAAGATACACTTTATGGAATAAAATACATGTGTCAACATTGTGAATGTTACACAGTGTACAATATAGAAGTTAACTTGATTTTTTTTCATTGTAACATGATTTATGAAAGCTAAACTGAAAAACGTTCTCACCTGTTATCCAGTCAGTTCAAATTCCTGTATGTTAAGCTAACATCGTAAATAAAGTCTCAGTTTTTATTTTAGTCTTACTCCAGCTCATATCGGTGTCATTATTAGAACACAGAATAATAAGTAGGTACAAACATCAAAAATATTTATGGATGAAACTTGAATCTACTGGTAAGTAGTTAGACTAAAATTATTCAAAATAATAATCAGGAGATGGCTAATGGTTAATTTATTATAGCTACCGAATAATCGAGTTGATAAACTTCAAAGATTCATATGCATCCATAGGCACCTTTAGGTAATTTAATTATTATTATTATTAGGTGTTAGATCTGGTATAGAGATTGATTTCAAGTTTGATTTTGCAGTCGCATTCTACGCTCTTGAAAATCTACAGTCTTTAAAGTCTGGACAAAATTGGGGTGTAAAAGATATTTGAAGGTGTTTACTCCCAATGAAGGTCTGGTTTGAAGGGTCAGAGGGTATCTTCAGAGTGGCTAATTAGCTTTGAATTCCAGAATCTGATCATATTGGTAATAATTTATCTGCTTCACTACTCAGTCATTCACTTAGTCAGTCTAAAACATTGGAAAAATGTGCATCAGTCTAATTCACAAAAGTAAAAAACAAGATAGAAAAGTAAGACATAATGAACGAAACTTCACTAGAGATATAGACTGATAACTTTTACATCACAAAATCAACCAGTGGTTTTGTAGTAACCAGCAGATAGCCTTTTGATTGATGATGTAAGTGTTACAAAGATTTTGTTATTTATCTGTCAGCTAAAACCCGGATAATCTACGGAAGATCAGATGTTAAGGAAACTGTATCACTTATTTATCACCAGAAATCACTAATAAAAATTTATCTTTTTCACAAGCCTATGAAAGATTCAAGTACTTGATCGAATTCATGAAATCCAGGTATCAATTTTTAACCAATTAATTTGTCAGTCCCCATAAAGATTTAGACACTGTTCAGTATACTACTAACAATTTGACAGTAATTAAAAATGGATATAATTTTTTTTGATTGACACCGATTGATGTTAGACCACCATTGAAAACCTGGAAGCACTGAACGCCGTTTCATCCTATTGTGGGACTCCTCAGCAGTGCGCATCCACGATCCCGCGAGCACTGCTGAGAAGTCCAACAATAGGATGAAACGGCCGTTCAGTGCTTCTAGGGTTTCAATGGTGGTCTAACATCAATCAGTTCATGATGTCAATCAAAAACTTGACAATCTCCACAACACCTAAATTGATAATTTTTTTTATTCACCTTGTAAGTAGTTATTCACCCTCGGTTGTTATTTTGCCATTAGTTAAATTTAAAAAGAACCATTTGCATGAAAACTTGATCTTCGTTTACCATATTCAGTCGTATTCATACTTTAATGATTGGTAGTTTTTAATGAAATCTTATTTTAAATAACGAAGAAAATATTTATTACATGTTTTAGTTTTGGATAGAGGGTTTTTAGATTATTTTACCTTCCGAATGGGTCTACAGAAGTAGCTAAAACAAAATCTTTTACTGAAAAAATGATTGAAGTTAACAAGTACACTTTTTTCGTCGAAGTAGGATTTCTTCATCCCAAAAAGGTAAATTTCCACTGATTCCAACTTCGCTTCACTTAACTTAGAGCTAGGTTTACTGGTGAAGTCAATGTAGTGTACACCCACTGGTTTCTTTTGATCTTTCAAAGAGCTCCGGATTTCTAACTTAATAGGAAATGAACGACTCGTTTCAGAACTATGTTGTTTTCATCCAAAATCTTGATAACTACGCTAACTAAACCTATAGGGGTTACGACACGTAACCGTCTTTGGGATAGGACTTCCAATAATGTTCTTCCAGTCTCCTGGGACCATGCTCTATGTTGCAAATAAGTTATATGCCATATTTAAAGATCCTTAGATGTAAGGTTTAAGTTTATTTGTAATGTACTCCATCAGATATCTCTGGTTTTAGTATTTCAAGTTTATTTAGTAGTCTAAAGAGTTTGAATTTCTAGCAGTCACTATGTTCATGTTCTGGTTATTAAAATTTGATTGTTCCTGTGCCAAATATATATATATATATATATATATATATATATATATTGTTTTATACATTTTACTAAAAAAGTCTGAGAATAGATCAATTTTTCCAAAATCACTGTTTACATCATCTTACATATTTATACGAAAACAGTCGTTCAATCTATTTTGTATAACCACCTATAAGTTTTGCACTTACCTCGTTTCTGAACTTTCATTGAAATGAAGCTCAGCTTTTTATGGTTTATCAATGGTATCGGTATGTATAACGACTGGTTTACTGAAAACACTATGTGTATAATTACTTAGAAATTTGATTTTAAAATGCTTGATATGTATGTTGTTGGCACTTCATTTCTAACAACAGTTTAGAAAGCGAAGGATTATCCAGCACTATATATATATATATATATATATATATATATATATATATATATATATAATATACAATATAATAGATTTTGAAAATAATAATTACGGAATTCATACCAGTTTACAGGCATGATCAGCTTGATATATATAGTTATATTAAGTGTAGAGAACAGATATGTGATGTAAGACTGTTTTAGGTTTTATAGTTCAGAAACTGTTTAGGTAATACATTTTTTCACATGTATTGCAGCAATGAAAGGTATCCACAGAAGACGTTCGATTGTTTTATAATTTGACATCGAGTTGGTGTATGAACGGTGTATTTAAGATTACTTCCTGTACCATAATGAATCGATTATAATCATCTGCAACTAGAGAAAATAAAATAGATTCAGAGAACATGGAACAAAATAGGTAATAATTACTACGATAGGTTAGTCAGGTCTACCATAATACATATGTCAGGTTATTTTATGATATACTATTGATTTTAGACATTATTTTAATTAGTTAAGATTTCCAGGGACGGTTTAAATGTAAAGTAACAGGTGGTAGGTAGGTTTATCAAGTGGATTCAGTAATAAAAATAACTAAACATTTAAAGTTCCTATAGTCTCAATTGTGGAATAAGATACACTTACAGGTGCTAGAACACTTAATGCATTTTCAGAGGAAAAGTAAGAATTCATACAGCGAACAAAAGATAGGAGTGATTTTATCTCACAGACAGATTCAGGTAAACTACTCCAAAGTCTAGACAACTTAGTGGTAAATTAATTCATATAGAAAGATGATTTAGAATATGTTTGTCTCACTAATGACAATCAGTTATAGATGCTGTAACTAGGAGTTTCTGCATATTGAATTCCATCACTGGA